CGGTCACGGCGCGATCGTCGGTATGACTCCGCGGTCACGGGGTTATCGTTGGTATGACTCGCGGTCACGGCATGATCGTCGGTATGACTCCGCGATCACGGCGCGATCGTCGTTATGACTCGCGGTCACGGCATGATCGTCGGTATGACTTGCGGTCACGGCGCGATCGTCGGTAGGACCTCGCGGTCATGGCGCGATCGTCGGTATGACTCCGCGGTCACGGCGCGATCGTCGTCATGACTCGCGGTCACGGCGCGATCGTCGGTATGACTCGCGGTCACGGCGCGATCGTCCGTAGGACTCCGCGGTCACGGCGCGATCGTCGGTATGACTTCGTCTCCTGCGTTCGCGGACCTATCGCTTGCAATAACGGCGTTATCGGCACTCGCGAAGCGGAAAAATCGCCGACGATCGGACCAAATCCCGTCCCGAAAAATTCCCGAGTCAAATGTAATCCCGTCCCGATAATCGGGAATATTTTTTTCCCGAAAAATTCCCGAAATTTCGGGACCCGTCCATCCCTAGTTTTAACAGCACACAAAATCAACCTACGTAAAATGTATCTGTATTAGAGCTATCAATATAAGTTGTTACAGATATTTGTTGGATTGATATGGATGACAAACCAAGAAAAAAGCGGAAGTCTGGCCATGAGTATAAAAAAGAGAAAGAGGCTTCTCAGCGGAAAGAGGCTGCATCATCTTGCACAAAACTTACATCATTTTGGGTCCAGACTTCTCAAAGGAAGCCTAATGAAAATGAAGAAAACTGTCCAACTACAACTGCTGTCACCATCAGTGATGAAACGTCAGTTGCAACATCCAACATTTTGACTATTGATGAAAATGAAGAAAACTGTCCAACTCCAACTGTTGTCACCATCAAAGATAAAACCTCAGTTGCAGCTTCCAACATTTTGACTATTGATGAAAATGAAGAAAACTGTCCAACTCCAACTGTTGTCACCATCAAAGATAAAACCTCAGTTGCAACTTCCAACATTTTGACTATTGATGAAAATGAAGAAAACTGTCCAACTCCAACTGTTGTCACCATCAAAGATAAAACCTCAGTTGCAACTTCCAACATTTTGACTATTGATGGACATGATGACAATGAAGAGTCCGAGAAAGCAGATTCTCACTCTCACATTACTTCAACTCAAATAGTTGCCACTCCTAGTCAAGACGATGAATGCAATGCATTAAATTTTTTCCAAAAGCCCACACCAAGAGATGTCAGTGCGTTTTTTAAATATCATCCTCAACAACTTACAGAAGATGAAAACTCATCACCTTTGCCATTTGACAAATGTGTATATAAGTTTAAAAGCAATTCTAATGAATGGTTCAAACGCAATTGGCTCTCATACAATCAAAAAGATAAAAAGTTGTATTGTAGTGTATGTCTGGCTTTCTCTGACAATTCCTCTATTTTTTGTAAAGGATTTGACAGGTATAGACATGTAATGCAAACAGTAGGAGAACATGAGAAGTCCAAGTCTCATTTAGAGTCTGTAAAATGTTTTGTAGCTCATAATCAAAAAAGGTCTATAGATTTTTTGTTGTTTGAAAAACAGTTGGATAAACGAAAACATGAAGTGGCCGAAAGAAGAAAGGTTGTGAATGGAGTCATTGATGTGATTAAGTTGATTGGTAAACAGGGCCTTGCTTTGAGAGGTAAAAGGCACGAAGAAGGTTATAGCCTTGGTAACCCCTCTTTCAATCATGGAAATTTTCTAGAAATCTTTCTTTTACTTTCTAGCTATGATGATTCATTAGGAAAACATGTTAAAAATGTTATCAGTACTAGTACCGCTGCTTTAGAGAAGAGGCAAAACAAAAGGGAACAAGAAAAAGATAAAGAAAGAGAAAAAGGGAGAAAGGGAGCAAGACAAAGAGGTGGAAGAGGGAGTCAAACAACATTTTTAAGTAAGACTACAGTAATGAATATTGTTTCAATTATCAAAGAAGTTATGGTAGCTGACCTCGTGAAGGAAATAAAGCAATCTGTAATCTTTTCTGTTCTCATGGATACAACCATAGACGTATCAGGGTATGACCAATGTGCAATTGTATTGAGGTATGTTCATGGAAAAGAAGTGAAAGAAAAGCTGTTAGGATTGGTTACTGTACAGTCAACTACTGCAGAAGGACTATTACAAACTTTGCTGACTCTGTTGGAGGCTAATGGACTGAATGTAAAGCACTGTGTTGCTGATGCCTTTGATGGAGCATCTAACATGAGTGGAGAGTATAATGGACTTGCCGCTAAATTGAAACAACTGGTTCCCAACCACACACACACATGGTGTTACGCACATGTTTTAAACCTAGTTATGACAGATACTGTTCAATGTTTACCAGTAACCATCTCATTTTTTGGACTTTTACAAGAGACCCAAGTTTTCATAAAGGAATCTTGTAAGAGGCTGAACGTTTACTTGGAGAGAAATCCAAAGATTCGATTGACATCAATTGGAGCAACAAGATGGCGATCAAGAAGTGATGCTGCAACTAAGATTTTTGGGTTCTCTTCTTGCTGGTTCTCAGATGATGGAACAGAAAACAAAGATATGACAAAACTGGTTTATCCTGACCTCGTTATCACTCTCTGTATAATCAGCAATTCATCTGAATTCAATCCAAAGACTAGAAATGAGGCCAACGCACTTCTGTCAAAGTTCCTTTCCTATGAAACCATTTTGATTTCTATGACTTTTCTTAAAATCTTCAGTTCCACCACGCCATTGTCGGACTACTTACAAACCCAAAATCTTGACTTCACCCAAGCATGGGCATTAGTTGCCGCAGCACAAAAGTCTTTGGGAAAACTTCGTAACGAGTTTGAATTTGAAAATGTTAAGAAGGCTGCTGACAGATTTGTGTCTTACATGACTGCATCCATCGACAAAAAGTTAGATGAAGACCCTTCTTTAGATGCAGACAAACTGTGCATTGAGACAGAATTGCCCAAAAAAAGGAAACGAACCGCCAAGAGAGTACATGGTGACTCAACTGAAGATGCCTTTGTCAAATCAACTGAAGAAGACCAGTTCAGGATAAAAGTTTATAATGTCATAATGGACAAAATAAATGGAACGTTGAACTCAAGATTTTCTGACCAAAAACACTTATATTTGGACCTGTCTTGCTTCGACCCTAGAAGATTTCCCGAGTTTAAGAAAAATGGACTGCCCCCAAATGCCTTGGAGAAAATTTGCACGTTGGTGCAAGATGTAGACAGAGAAAAACTGAAAGAAGAACTCCAATACTTGTTCAGAGTATGGTCTGATTTAAACTTGACAATCGAAGAAAGATTTTCAGAGTTGAAATCTAAAAGTGAGTCGAGCAATGATGAATCCACTGAAGATGAAGATGAAACTAAGACATGCGAAGATGAGGAGGAATATAAGACTTGCTCTTACACATCAGAATGCAAGCAGTGTATCAAGTGTGTTTTCAATGTGATATATGAGTACAACATGTACTCAGTATCATTTCCTGAACTATACAAAGTCTATAAATTTATCTTGACCATCCCTTTGACACAAGTTAGCTGTGAGAGAACATTCTCAACACTCAAATTTGTAAAATCAAGACTTCGGGCAACATTGAACCAAGATAATTTAGAGGCTCTTATTATGATGCAAATAGAAAGAGAGAGGGTCACTTCCATAGACAACGATGTTGTAATAGCTAAGCTATGTGAAAAGAGCGATGAAATGAAGAGGCTCTTGATCTATTGAATAGTTGAATAGACTGTAATTTTTGTGTAATTAGTTTAGTTGTTAATAAAATTGACTTTTTTCAAAACTAACTCATACTTTCATTTCCGTCTCGTCAATACAAAATCTGACTAAGTTATAAGCCTAAACAAAACCAACCTTAATAAAGTTAATCTTAAACATGATGAGAACAAATATAAATTTAAAACAAATTAACAAATTATAGTTTATTTCATTTTTGTAGTTGGCAGTTAAATCAAAATAATAAAACACCTTTTTAGGGTTACAGTTTTGACTTAATGTCATGCTAAAACAGTTTCAGTCAATACATTTGTTTTGTTAACGATAAAAGCATATTGTTTGGGTTAAAATAATATCATAGAAATCTAAAATATGTAACTTCTGTTATTTAGAGTGCCATTGTACAGCAGCTGCAGGTTCAGGTTGTAAACAGGAAGCACATGATTTATATTGTAGGCCTATGTATGCAGCCAAATCATGCGAGGGAAAATAGTGAAAATACGCAAATATAATACAAAAGAACCTTAGAAAATCATTTGTGATTTTGTTTGGATATTTACTGTCAGAGTAGCACCAAGTCGTGTGGGTAAATAGTCTAAATTTTGTAATCCAAACATGGGTCAAGTGTCAGTTATCTGATTTCTGATTTTCCACTGTTAATGCATCTAGATTGCCTAAAAATGCGAGTTTACAGGTATAATTTTTAAAAAATTTTCCGGGGGCGGACCCCCCCCCGTGTCCTGGGGGGTATGCGAGACCCCCCGGTATGCGCCCTCAGGCTGGTCAAGGTTTACGCCCTAATGGAGTACCCAGTCCGCCCCTGAGGCCGTGTTAAATAGAAAATTATGTTTTTAAGCAATAAATACTTAACATAAATATCAAGAAAACTCACAGTACCTAAAATATGCTGTATGGTCAGGGAAATTAACAGAAAACTGTGAGAATTCAATTAAAATATGTTTTTGGGAACCCTGATATTGTAAACTGTTTAAGTTTGCTTGTTTATGGATATTATTTTGATAAAACTCATAAATTTATTTATTTTATATTAAGCTATTAATATTCTACAAAAAATATTATTAGCCTCCCTGTAGCAGTGAACATAGGTACTCGTTTAACCTAATGTTATTTAAATAGAATTAATTGAAAATCAAATTAGGAAAAAATGCAAATTTAATTCTTTAGGTCTGCAAGTTTGCTGCGGCGCGGGTTTTATTAGCAACAATAGGCTAAAAATAAATCAAACACAAACCTGATAACCTCCTGTTATGATTTTGATTTTCCGTTCCATTTTTGCTGCTCTTTTAGCTTCTTTTGTCATGTGAGTTCTATTTTGCTCTAATCGCTTTTCTAAGGACTCCAATCTATCTTTCTTACTAGCCAGATTAGCTCTGGTGTACCTGTTTTGATTTGCAAGAAACAATACCTGAAACAGAATTTTAAATATATTAGTAAAAAAGAAACCTGTATAAAAATATTTTACGCTTGCATGTCGGGAATAAAATACAAGCTCACTGCCCTCATAAGCATTTGTGAAAACCCACCCCACATAACACTTTACAATTTCCAAGTGGACTTGGTGCCTTTCTATAACTATTTTTCCCCTCTCCCAAAAGCTATTAAACTTTTAATAGCTTGGGGGTCAGAATCCATATGAAGCAGATGGGCTGTTAGTGCTCTTTTAACTTTGATGTTCAATAGGAAGAAACAAATTTAATAGACTTAATTAACTTTCTTTAAATTAATTAATATAACAATTAATTTGAATACGTTCCTACAACATTTTCTCTCTTTCTAAGATTTATTGCTTAAAGATTTAATTTTTATACCATAAGTAGTATGCTAGGAATAGATGGACAGGATTGTATTTTAGTTCATTATGAGACGAGACAAAATCAGAATTTCCCCCTCCCCCCTAACATAAAAGGGATTGTTTCTATAATAATATTGATCAAATATTCTTGCAGATAGCAATAATGACAAATAAAATAAATTTGCAGTGTTCTTAAAAAAAATACAACAATGGGTAAAAGTACACATGTACGATAACAAAAACTATTGACTCAAACATTTTCATATTTTGGTGCAATTTAACTGTAAAACACCAATCTAATTAATAATAAAACAGTGCTAGCAAACCACAATCAGGAATTTAAGCCAACCATAACTACTTTTAAAAAACTGAGTTGGGATTGTTTGAGGCCTGATATGGTGTGATATACCTGTACATAAGCAGTGCAAGCTTTAGTAGTCATAACTTTTCTAATTTGTACCTATCACATTATTATAATGACTATAATCCGCGATAGCGGCACCATTGTTAACATCTCCCTCAATCATCGTTAACCCCACATTCACGGCCCCATCATCAACATGTATTGTAGACACGGCACCATCATCGACATGTATTGTAGACACGGTGCCAGCGTGAAGATCTCCCAGATCACGGAGACATTATCATCGTCTCCTGGGTTCCCGGGACCATAGTGAATATCTCTCGCAATTGCAGAGAGATCATCATCAACCTCACCTGCCATATCGGTTACATTTCCCGCGATTAAGGAGACGTCATCATTGTCACTCTCACGAGTTGCGACAAGGTAAAATTGGGGACGATCAGAACGAATCCTGTTTCGAGAAAATCCAAAATCAAATGTAATCTTGCCCTGATGATTTACAAAATTTTAGGAACATAGAAGTATACATTTACAACAGTCAAGATTTACTCAACAACAAATATAGGTCTACAGTGTGCATTGCGAGATGGTCTGTTCATAACTCTAATAGCCTTTTTTTGCAGTTTTAAGACACATGAAACATGACCACAATTACCCCACAAACTAATTCCATACAACAAAATACTGTGAAAAAAGCAAAGTAGGCACTCCTGAGAAAGCGTTTAGGTAACAAATATCGTAAATGCCTCAACAAGCAAATTACCCTATTAAGCCTAATACAGACGCATTGGATGTGTGGGCTCCAGTTTAACGTGGACTCAAGAACAATGCCTAAACGTTTAGCATGGCCTATGTTACAGTGTTCAAAGCTGGGGGTAACTTTACACAAAGATAAAAGCAAACTTTGAGTTTTATTATTGTTAAGAGCCAAACCGTTAGAATTAAACTTGTCAGTGCTTTCAACCAAGGTGTTAGACATCTTACACTGAATGTAAGTTTAACAATAATTATATTCATTTAGCTAAATGTTTCTCATCAAGCCGACATATTGTGAGAGGATCTAAACACACAAACTTCCATAATTTGAATTTTAAATACTTTCCATAATCTCATTAGCATAAATTGGGTAAAAAATAAACTCACTTGACTCAAACATTCTTCCCATACTTGTGTGAACGACTCTAAGGAGAGATCCCCATGGCCCATTCCTTGCTTTACCACATCCATCTCCTTCTTCAGCAGTTCTTCAGCCTGACACAAACATTGCTAGTGATATTCAACTCAGTGTATTGACAATAAATTGAAAGAACAAAAAATTGAATGTTCATAGCAAAGGTTACCTGATTTGTTGCTATCCACGAATCAGTTTAGCTAAAAATTTAGCAACGGAAAAAACAAGCTCTCATCCAACACACAAACATTTAAAGTAATGTTATGGGCAATGTGAGGGGGGAGGAAAGGAGGGATCAAGTGCTTATCAAAGTCATCTGTAAAGGTTTATAAAGGTGATCTAAATTACACAGATAAACTCCATATTCCAAATACAGTAGAGCCCCTCTTAACCGACCATAACGGTTCCGGACCTAGGTCAAACAACTCAAAAGGTTGGTTAAAACGGGCAATCCGAAAAATAACTTAAAAAAAAAAATGAAGTGCTTTTCATTTAGAATGATATAATCATTATTCTAAAGTTGTGTGTGCATTATGTACAAAAGAATCTAAACTTATCTCCTTTATTTTTTAAGTATTGACAATAGAAAAGTCACAAATAAACCCAAATCACGGTAATGGTCACAAATACTTTAAGTGGAATAAATTACAGTCGTAGTCAAGAGTCTATAAATATTCTTATTTTAATTTGTCTAGTAATATTAATTGATGCTTTTCAAATCCATTGTAATACAGTACAGAACTTATCGTGGAAATTAAAGATACAAGCAACCATTTTTTTACGAAACAGGATGTTTATTTATAGCCTGTAACATCCTGCAGAGTTAAGCGAGTTGTTCCCATCGCCGTTTACCGAGCGTGGGAGCGAAAATGCCGAGATTTATAGAAATCAGCGGTTAAACCAAACTGCTCTCAAAACAAGGTCGGTTAAAACAAACTGTAATATTTTACGAGCGAGGGTGTATAATCTGATCATTGGTTGATACGAGGTCGGTTAAAAAGGGGTCTAAGAAAGGGGCAAATAAATTCCATGTTATGAGTTTGACTAATAATAATTATAGTGGCGTTATCATCTTAAATTATGTTTTATCATTAAGAATTGTTTAACCCATTGACAACGACTCACAAGTGTAGCATTTTACCACTGGATAGTCGTACAGCTAATCCACTGGCCCTCAAGTAGTAAGTTGAATCCAACCTACGAGCGGTAGTGTCATAAGATGCTTATATTGGCAATCGACTTGTTCAACCAACGGTGGCATGGTAGCTCAGTTGGCTAGGGCGTTGTACTGACAAGTGTAGTCTTGTGGCCTTTCTACATGCCCAGGTTCAAATCTCGTAAATATGCAATCCATATTGAGCTCGGTAATGTGTGGCTTAGTTGGAGAGGAGTGTTCAACTTAAATAAACAGTGTACGGCTTGGGTGGAAGTTGATGGTATTGCAGAGTTTTAAAAATTCATAATGATGTTAGTTTTAACATGTTATATTATTTAATTGGACTTTTCCAATGTGTCTTGTGTTTTAAACTACACAACGTTTCTGGAGGTGGATACACTTCTCCCGTTATCAAGTGAAAGTATACTAATGTTACATTAAACTAAATTAAATTGACCTTCAAAAGGTGGCCAGTCACAAAAACTTCTTGCTGAAAAAACAACTGTTTACAACATATATGCAACAATAAAAAGATCAAGTACATAATGAAACAAGAGTTGAAAAAAATAAACACGCTGAAAAGAAGAACTGTTAATATATTGCTATACTTACAACCTTACAGCTAAACACAGACACAATCAAAACACTGAACTGACGCTACACTCCGCCACCAAGCTAGCCGGCCCAGGAACCAGGTAACAACTTGACGTCAAAGAGGCAAGGCCAGTACTGACCCGCCCCTGGCCATGCAAAGTGAAACTTCCTACAAGCGCCCACTAGGAGCACTAGCAGCGTAGCGTCATGTGATGGGTTCTTGCAGGTTCCTATCCTATCTAAAATATTAGTTGTTGGGGCGGGATTTTTATTTTTATTTTTAAAATGTTCAGATAGAAAAGGAAGCCATAGGGGCCTAACTTCTATGCTGTTTAAACTGATTGGATCTTTATTTATTTTAATAAGAGCTGCTTCTGTGAATTTTAATTTGTGATAATTATCCCAAGCATGTTTAGGGGTGAGGTTCATAATGTCCAAATTTCACATACTCCAACTGTTAAAATATTAAATTAACAGTGTGTTTCATAATGTCCAAATTTCATAAGCTCCAAAACTATAACTTTCAAATAGGGATGGTCAAGTCTCGAAATTTCGGGAAATTTTCGGGAAATTTTAAATCTCGTTACACGAGACGAGATTTCTTTTTGGCCGAGATTTTTATCAAGACAAGAATAAAAAAAAAAATTAAAAACGCCTGCAGAAAGTCAATGCAATACCCGCAATACAGGAGCGTGTTGTAGTTGCGTTTCCTTTGCGAAGGCGTTCTTATTTAATTAATTCTTTAAATGTAAATATTACTTTAATTATTTTAATAATATTACTTTAATAACATTTGAGAAGTTTTGTTAAGTGTAAGCAGTGTGAGGAATGTTTTATTACTATAAAAAGTCAAAACAAGTAACTATTTTATAAAAATTAATATTGCTTTTATTTTATGATTTATTTTATTTTAGGATAAGTTGAACTCTATCCTAACTGATATCACTATGTTTCCTAATCGTAGGCATTTTTAATAAGTTAGGCGTGATTAGTAAAAAAATATCATGCTGATGTTTTTTAATAAAAGATTGTAAATATTCTTGCCTATTATCATTATTTTTGTATTTAAACAGTCATCTAACAATGTTACAAAATCAGGTAAAAATTTTGAACGTGCATTTCCCGTTGTGTATGAGAAGGGAAATCCCGTCTCGATCTCGTCTCGAAATTTTATGAGAAATAAAAAATCTCGTCTCGTCTCGTCTCGAACTAAAAATCCAATCTCGTCCATCCCTACTTTCAAATAATCACTGATTCACAATGTCCAAATTTCACAAACTCCAACGTTTAAACATCAAATAAACAGAAGTTTCACATCAGTTTTCAGCAGTCAACGTGTTAATTGAGAGACGGAACAGTTAAGAAACTCAGCTGAATGCTTGAATTTCAAACAGAAATATATATTTGTGAATATATATAAACAGAGAATATTTTTGTGTGCTATTAAAAATATAAAAAAGTAAATTTGATTTGCACATTATGTGTTAACACATAGTTGAGTCACACAGCTAAGTGTTCTTCAGTCATTAAAATGCACGTATAATCAGTAGTTAAGCCCCGGCGGACGGTGCCTGCTATCTGACCGTGGCAACCACTGTAGAGACTTCTGACCCAGATTGTACAGTTGGAGATTATGAAATATGGACATTATGAACCGCTCTGTTTATTTGATATTTAAACGTTGGAGTTTGTGAAATTTGGACATTGTGAAACGCTCTGTTTATTTATTATTAACGTTGGACTTTGTGAAATAATCGTTGGAGTTTGTGAAATTTGGACATTGTGAACAGTGATTATTTGGATGTTATAGTTTTGGAGCTTATGGAATTTGGAGATTATGAAACGCTCCCATGTTTAACTAGTCTAGAGTTGGCCGTGTCTCCTTTTTTGGTGTTGTTCTTATGCTAGTTTTATGTGCACCTGAAGTGGGCATTTAGTTCCACCTATATATTCCCTATCACACTCACATTGGCCAATTGGATACAGTACTGTAAATAACATTTTTAGAGGCTTGTTCTTGGTTCGTTGGTTTTTTTTTCAAACGAATTGTCTTACGGTGTTATGTGATTTAAAAGCTGTTACAATGTTATATTTGCGAGGTCACAATGGTATTAGCAAGGTTTTAAAAATAGATATATTATGGTGAAGAACTTCAAAGGTTATAACCTAAAAAAAACTATTAATAGAGGAATAAAAAAATCGTTGTCAATGGGTTAAGATTAAATTAAATACTGAGAAGGAACTGTTCGAATCAAAAGTTTATGACTAAAATTTGGGTGTATAAATTTGTATCAGCTGTTGTTTTGATCTTGCCTGCAAACAGTATGTGGCATAAGCGTCTAGACTGCCAGTGCAACTTCTAGGAACGAGGATCAGATCAGAAAACCCCCCACCACTGCTCCGTGCCGATGGCGTGACGTCAACCATTACCGCAACGATACGGAACTGAGTCATGAGCCTTGGTGGTGTAGTGGATAGCGTGTCGGGCTGATAATCGGAAGGTGCCGGGTTCGAATCCCACTGATAGCACTAACTTTTTGTCAACAATTTTTTTTCATATCAGCAAGTTTGGTTGGTTTGGTTAGGTTATGACAGTTTAATTTTATAATTTAAAAATTATAAAATTGAATTTGAGACATTTATTTTATAATTTTATTTTTAGAACAGAACTATTTTTTCGATTAGTAAACCTTCATCCGAGTTTTTCATTATTAGCAAGTTTGGTTAGTTTGGTTAGGTTATGACAGTTTAATTATATTTAATTTAAATTTAACCTACAAATGATACGTTTTGACAGCAACAGTGATAGAGATAACAATTTTAGCGCCTCTGATCCTCGTTCCTTGGAGTTGCACTGGCAGTCTTGCTAAACGTGGACCATGTTTAAATGTAATTTTGCATCAATGTGGATTGCAAATTTTAAATCATGGCCAAAAGATACAACTAATTTGCCTGGAAATTATAGATTAAACATTGCAATTAGGGATTTGCCGATACCAAAACTTATGGATTCTCTACACCGATAACTGGAAAACCAATTCTCGAGGCCATTTATTTTATTTTACCAATATTTCTGTATGATATTTTAGTATTTCTGTATTTGTTATACTACAACTACACCAACCCCTCTCTTTATACCCTTCTATAAAGTAATTTTGGAGTAATGAGATGTTTTTCAAGTAAAGAAAAAAATTAACGCATTAACAAAATATTATTACTAGCCAATTTAAGTTAAAAATCTTCTAAACACATAATAAAAAAACCATATAAAAATAAATGAAGATATTACAAAAAATATCAAATTTTGTTAGCATAACTAGAGGTGTGCCAGCCTGAGATGTTGGATCAAACTAAACTCGGGGTAATATAGTGATCATCTACCGCAGTCGTCTTCTGCTATCACAGCAACATTTTGATCATCTTGACATATTCATCCTCTCCCGCAGTCATGGAAAAGTCATCATTGTCATGCAGAGTCACAGCAATTTTTCAATTGTACGAGCAGGCGTGTGAGGTTTTGGCATTAACTTTTGACCAGATACCGATATCTATGGCCGCCAAGTATCGGTGGTATTGAGAAATCGACAAATCTCTAATTGCTATGACATTGTCGGTTTCAACAAAATACCCTTTTTATAAACTTTCTATTCAAATTAAATGTTTATTACATTTTTTTAAGAAGGTAACCATCACAAAGTAGCAAAAACTAACTACCTGTGGGTACAAGAAAAACAAGTGCCGACATGTTAGTGAGACACACAGTATAGCTGCATAACTGACTGACAACAATTCACCTTAGATTGAAAGATCTACAAGTTGCAAAGGTAATTAAACCCCTCTTCCAATGTATACTCTTACAATGTATATGCTATCAATACCTTGGCCATATCCTCAGGAGTGTACACTTGGTATGGCCTCTGCTCCAGGTAAGCCATGTGCTGAGCCTGGCCTACCACACTAGCCTGTTTCTTCACATCTGTGGGGTTGTGTAGAGCATCGTAATGCAGCATCGTGATCATCTCTTGCTTGATTAGCTCTTCAGCCTGCAATATTTTACTGATTCAACCATCTTTAATTCTATTTAAATAAAATATAAATGACACAGAATAACACTAGAAGAAAATCTAAGGCCAGGAATACACTTGTAGTTGGCCAACTTACGGGATAAGTGAACATATTTCCTAGGTTTATGACGGACAGAACATATGAAGCGGTTTGATCATGCCACACTAGTAATAAATACCGCCTGAGCCCGTGATTCTCACTCCCCCCTTTACAATCACTACACAGCAAATAAGTTGTTGTTGAGATGCAGATGACACGGAGAAAAAGTAAGGATTGTTGTACTATTTTTATTTTTTATACAAAGAAATCAAGAAATAATTAAGCTAAGTGGTTACAAGTAACATGAAACATTTGAGTTCCTCATACATCTGAAAATCTTATGAAATATACTTTTTTCAAGATAAGACTTTTTTTATATAATAGTAGGTATAAATTATATTTGTTATCAGATTGCCGCTCACAATAACACAAGTGTGGTCAAATAAACAAGATTTTTTTTCTTACTTGGCAGGCAGTAAACTACAAAAAATATGTAGACCTATAAAAAAAGAGATTTAACTTACAAAAATAAGAATAGAAATAAAATCAATTTAAAAAGTTTAAAACAATGCTATATTTAACAACATCACACTGATTAAACAATTACACATTTACTACACCCTTAAGATGGCAATTTTAACTAAAACCGCTACAGCAATGCAAAAACCTTTAATGCCTATGAAAATAATCTTGTGTCATTAGCTGGGTTCTATCTTCTCATGGAAGTCACAGATAGCCTTGTTAGGGGTAAGGTATACATACACTAAGTAGTAGTAAAAATAGTATCATTGTTAACAACTCCTATTTGTAAGATAATTTTATCTGTTGTAATTTTTGCTATTAAGTTAAATTATATTATAATATATATATAGATAAGACATGTAAAACCTTCTGTAGTTCTGTGAGGGGAGGATCAGTGTTGGGAGGACGAAGCACAATATTTATCTCTGATGGCCTGGGTAGACTACGTTGGATAACTTGTGATCTCCTTCGTAGCTCTTCTTCTTCTGTAAATAACATTACGTTGGTAATTCCTATTTCTAGGAGCATTGATCGATTTAATTTGAGCAAAACAAATCTTACACTAATCTCATGACAAATTGACTGTGTATTAACACTCTAAACAGTTTAAAAGTTACACTATTCCAAAATCAACTGTTTAGAAATACTTCAAATTGGCAGAAAATGTCACAAACTTGTATGGAAAATTTCACATAGATACCAGTACAGCCAAAGAACCCTGCTTGATCATTAACTAACTCCCAGACAAATTCAGCAGCCATATCAATGTTTTCAGAAAATAATTAAATTAAACAGGACACGGAATAATTTGAGCAGCTATGTTGGTACATGTGTTATTATCTGTTCCAGTCTTCCACCTAACTCTTGCAGTGAGGTGGAAGACTAGAAGACTTATCTTTTAAGGTGTGCACGTGTTAATGTTTTCATGTTGTGTCTTGTGTATGTATTATTTATTAACCGTTAATGCAATGAAAATCAAGAAATCTCAGGAAAAATTTTAATACTTTAGTGTACCACTACGCATCCGACGATGATGTAATCTACGAAACGGCTGTAGTGCAATTACAAATATGAATTGCGTAAACAGTAGGTACCTAAAATTTATATTGAGTAGAGGTCGTCCAGTGGTTGAAAACTCGACCAAAAATATGTACTGTACAGACTTATCTATTTTCACTCCACGCTGTAAATAAAATATGTGATTGGGATTTCTTCCATTTGTTTGATTTTCTGTTAATATTTTGTTGTTATTTTGTCACCAGCAAGGCAACCCATAAGGCCCATGTTATTTTTTATTCATATTTTGTGTTTTTTTTTTAGCCTATTTCAATTTATAAAGGGATTCTGCACATCTAGGGGAAAATATCTTTCTAACAGTATGCGTAGATTTTCCCTGCAGTGCACACAAGCTGAGAAAAAAGTTTTAAAGAAAACATGCATGCCTATTAATATATAAGACCTGCCAAACTAAAAAAAAAAACATACCAAACAAGTCAAAATATCCCTTCATAGATAAACAAAATTATTTTCTACTTTAAGTATGTACATACTCTGAGCTTGGAGAGTCTGTAGTGCTCTTAGATCAACATCCGCCTGGTCCTCAATAGAGAGTTGGCTACTCTGAGGCTTAGCATCAGTGTCCATGTCATCCTCTGGCACTACAATCTCATAGTCATTCCTAGGCACTGGCAAAGTGCTCAGTCCTACCCTTAGCTGCTCCTTTACCTGAAAATACATCAACATCAGTGTCCCTCAGGGCTCAGTTCTCGGGCCACTTCTCTTCCTGATTGCCATTAACGACTTGGGGTAGCATGGAAATCTTGTGCTGTTTGCTGACGATACTACCTTGTATATCAGAGGAAAAACACCGCTCCTTGCAGAGGAACTAGTGAAAAATAATCTGAAAGATGTGGAGCTGTGGTTCAGGGCAAACAAACTGCAACTAAATGAGACCAAGACAAACTGGTTGACTTGCACTCTGTCACGCACCCCAAACAACATCGGTGGGAGTGTTAAACTATTGGGTTTCTACCTTGACTCAACACTGGACTGGAGCGATCACGTCAAACATGTATGCACTAAGCTGGCTCGTGTCATATTTCTACTGAGGAGATTGAAGAAGTGTGTTACAGGTTCCTACCTGGTTATGGTGTACTATGCTATGTTTCATTGTCATATCTCTTATGGCATACATCTCTGGGGACACGCTGCTGGAGCAGCTAGAGTTTTGAAGCTCCAGAAGAAAGCTGTGCGCATTATAACAAGCAGCCATCGCCATGAGCATAGCAAACCCATCTTCAAAAACCTGGGCATCTTGAACATCTATAGCCACTGCATATGGGCATGCATGCAGGAAATCAAGAACAATGAACTGGGCCTGGTGGACAGGGCTGACATTCAATACAAGAGGCCGAAATCAACTCGATGTACCTCGCACTCGCCTCAGTAGAAATAGGGACTCATTCCCTGGAAGCGCCATCCGTTTCTTCAACAAACTCCCAGCTGCCATTAAGACCCTCGCCAGCAGAAAGTTTAAAACCACCACAGGAAATTTTTTCCGTAAAAATCCCTACTTCTCAATAAAGGAATTCCTGGAAGGTAGTTTGGATGAGCTGAAGTAGAACATAGCGACCGCCATGAGTACATACTAAAATTATGTTTTTTTACATATTTTAAACTTGTGAGTCATATACATATGTGCGGAAATAAAATAAGTAGTTTTTACGCAGACACAGCCTATTCCCATTATACGATGGGTCAACGGCCAAGAAGATGGTAATAAGGTAATGTTTTGGACTTTTTAGGTTTGTAACCAGTAGAAACACGCTTAAGGAAAGCGATTGTTTTAGAGAATTTATCACAGTCTAAATTATCTTTAATTAACAAAGAGCTTTTTATCATGGAAAATTTTGACCAAAGACTTGAAGGATTCATAGATTTTGATGAGATATATAAACTAGCATGCAATCGTCATTTACTATCCTCACGTTGTTTTCCTTACAAAAATTTACTCCTTTTCATACCTATCCTTAGATTTTTCAGGCAGTAGGTTTAGCGTAACTAGATTTGCTTCCTCTTGTATGTCTATTTCTAACTCATCAAAATGCATTTTAGGCCATTAATTAGCTCATTGTAACACTTACTTAATGACGTACACCTTATAAGTCACTGACAATTGCAACAAACACTAGGCCTTCTCAATAACTAAAAATATAATAACCAGCTGATTGGTGTCTGGTAAAACTCATTAAAGTACATTAAAATAGCGTATTTTGGCAAAAAAATTATTACAATAGTCTCTTACCAAGATGTTTGTATAAGCTGTAGAGCCAGGCTGAGGACCAAGTAGGCCCCCATATATGCCAATGCAAAATAGTTTTTATGACACCATACCACATCCTTGTTCCAAAGGCACGACAATCGGCATTTTCCACTTTCTTATGAACGAGACCTAACTTGTTGGCCAGAATTATTTATATACATTGTTTGATACTCTTTGTCAAATTATCATATTGCTTGTTTTCTCTATAACATTTGTTTTGTGCTGATTTAATTAACATCTGTTACCTATATTCATTGTTTCTTATGAAAATAAAATATACACAATTTTACAGTCCACAAAGCTCTTTAGTCATTTTTTTATTATAAGTTTATTTTCAACCTTTAATTCAACGCAACGCAGATACCCAACATACATCCTTATACTTTAGCAAGATCCTTACCAGATCAATAACAGTTCAAACATAAAATAGGGCTTTAAATCTAAGTTTTTTAAAGATTTCATCTACATACATTAACAGTCATAACTAAGAAATATATATTTTCATTAATTAAGATCCTACAAATGGGCAGTTCTCCAGTGTACTTACCAGGTGCTGGTAGTTGCGCATTGCTGCAGGAGTGTCAGGTACATCCAGTTGCTCCTCAGGGTTGATACTGAGTTTGTCTCTCAGTGGGGTTGGAGTAGCCATTGCACTGCCTGTCCTGGGGGTCTGGAAACCAGGCGTGCTACCTATACAATACCAAACATCAACAACCAGTCCTTAGGGTTGATACTGAGTTTGTCTCTCAGTGGGATTGGAGTAGCCATTGGACTACCTGTCCTGGGGGTCTGGAACCCAGGCGTGCTACCTATACAATACCAAACATCAACAACCAGTCCTTAGGGTTGATACTGAGTTTGTCTCTCAGTGGGATTGGAGTAGCCATTGGACTACCTGTCCTGGGGGTCTGGAACCCAGGCATACTTTCTATACAATACCAAACATCAACAACCAGTCCTTAGGATTGATACTGAGTTTGTCTCTCAGTGGGATTGGAGTAGCCATTGGACTACCTGTCCTGGGGGTCTAGAACCCAGGCGTGCTACCTATACAATACCAAACATCAACAACCAGTCCTTAGGATTGATACTGAGTTTGTCTCTCAGTGGGATTGGAGTAGCCATTGGACTACCTGTCCTGGGGGTCTAGAACCCAGGCGTGCTACCTATACAATACCAAACATCAACAACCAGTCCTTAGGATTGATACTGAGTTTGTCTCTCAGTGGGATTGGAGTAGCCATTGGACTACCTGTCCTGGGGGTCTAGAACCCAGGCGTGCTACCTATACAATACCAAACATCAACAACCAGTCCTTAGGATTGATACTGAGTTTGTCTCTCAGTGGGATTGGAGTAGCCATTGGACTACCTGTCCTGGGGGTCTGGAACCCAGGCGTGCTACCTATACAATACCAAACATCAACAACCAGGCCTCATTGTGCATGCATAATCAAATACTTTTGTCCCTCTTCAAGCAATCAGGGCTACCAGTTTTACAACTTCAGGTGACAACAGTCTGATTATACAATTATATTATTGGTAGGTCCAACATAACCAAATAATACACTGTATACAATTGACATAATAGTGATTAAGTAATCAATCGTTTCTGTACAATAAAACCTTTTTTTAAAAGACAACCTACAAGTAGTTTGTAACCATTGTGTGCAGCCACTAGTGGCAACAACATTACGATGCTTACCATCAGTAATAGCCCGCAGTGAGTACGGGGTAGTCAGAACAGTATTGGGCGTGGAGATAGCCTCTCGCTGTGGTGTTACGCCACTGAAGTCTGAGTTGTGCAAAGGAGTGTTCAGACCTCCCTTGAGTGGTGTATCCACGTGACTCAAGGCCATCATATTTTGTGCTTCCTGAAACACAACAAACAATGTCTACAACGAAAATGAATTCTTTAGGGACAGAAAGAAGAGAGGACAGAGATCATATTATGATTATATATTTCAGACTGCCTGTCCTTGCGGCTTGTATATTTAATTTTTATTTAATGTGTGTTGTATGTTTGTCAAAACATGTCCTAAGTTTAACAATCTTATAATGATGAATAGACTGAGTATGGATGAGATGTGGCTGTAAAAAAAAACTTTTTGTCCTGTGAAACACAATGATATTTTCAAGATACCTACTACAGTATGTTTGAAATATTTGACAACTAGCCCTTGGTGCAGTTTACCTGCAGTACTCTGTCAGTGGTAGGGGCAGGTGTGCGAGGTGTGCGTCCAGCTATGTTGGGAGCTACTGAGTAGTCAGCTAACAATGCGTCTGACGCTCCTTGTACACCTCCCTCAGTGGCTGCCTCCCTCGCTGCTTCACTGGCTCTGCCTAACTTGACCACTTGTTGTAGTTCCTGCAACACATAAATACTCACTATCAAGTTAATAATAAAACTTTAAATATGAATAGATCTAGACATTCTATTTTTATGTTCAAGTTGTACTGTAACCACTTTCAAGATGTTCAAGATGGCGCTCAAACAAGGAAGACAATGATGATGTCTGTGTGACCACAGGCGTCTCCATGACCACGGGAGATGTTCACGATTTTGCCAGGATAGTGGGAGATGTTCACACTTTCACTGTGATCGTGGGAGATGTTCAGACTTTCGTTATGATCATTCAAGATGTTACCACTTTTGCCATAATCACAGATGTTCACACTTTTGCCTAAGGGGGAAAAAACTTAAGTTTCCCTTGTTGAATGGGAAGAAAATTGCCTTCCAGTTCCTGTCTTGAAAATAAGGAAGGAAATAAAAATCCTTTCCCAAACATAAAGTACAAATCCCATTCATTTAACTTCCAGTTCAAAGTCAATTATATCATTATATATTAATTGTACCCCAATGAATACAACAACAATTTAAGATAGCTCTGACGGGAGGAATATCCAGAACAACTATCAGGTCTATAATACCATCGTAAACAAATTAAGATTTGTTACAATCAGGTAAATTATTATTTTAAAATTTTTATGAATTTAGAATAAGCTGAATAAAAATTGTCTATATTGAAAAATATCATAAAATATGAACCAACATAAAATCCAGAATAGCTTAAAATTACTATTACACTACCGTAAACAAACATGTAAAGAAAGAACATAAAGAATAATTTTTACAAAACTTAGCATTCATACTTACAGCATCAGAAATCTGAGGTTCAGGGAGTACTAGTTTACTTCGCTTCTTTGCAGGTTCCTGATTCTGTAGCATTGCCGTTGGAACGTCATTCTCCTTCCTCTGCTTCAGCTTCTGTTTGTCTTTTCGTCTTTCTTTCTGAAAATATTCAAATATAGACATGTAAGTAGGCGTTATTAGTTTCTTTTAAAATTACTATACATTTAAAAAAACAAAGCGTAGTTTATTCAGCCTATTACTAGGCTAGTTAACTTTGAGCTTTTATATCAAGAGTAAACAGTTTAGATCGTAGCCTACCTCTTCTTTTTCACTTCTCAGTTCTCCGTCCAGATGTTGCTGCCTGAGGCGGCCAAAATCTGGAGCCAGGGGGTCAATGACCTCTTGAGAGGTATCGTAGAAGCCTGCGGCAGGTCGCTTCTCAAACGGTATCTCAGCGTTGTAGTCCACCCCTCGCTTGCGTTTGTGCCGAGGCGCAAGCTCAATGCCGGCAGCTCTCAGCTCCCTTCGTTTCTGCAGAGCTGCCAACCGTCTGGCCTCCTCTAGCTGCTTCTCCCTTGCCTTGCGCTTGGCTTTCTTGCCTTGTGTATTAGCAAGACGCGCCCTGGCCTCGGAGAGCATTTCCAACTCTAAAAAATGTTTATTTATATAAAATCATGGTAAACTTACATTAAGTAAGTGACAGGACAGTTTGGTAGAATCTCAATATTTCAAGGTACTTAATGGGTTAGTGTATATTATCTGTAAACAAGATTCAAAGTTTTATTTTTCAGAACACATTAGTTGAACATGAATAGTGTTGTAATTTTATTTTTATGGTATAGCCTCTGGATCTCTGATTTTTACAACAAAAGGTTTAAATTACCTGTATCCGTCAACCAACTACAATCTAGGATCACTTGACGGATACAGGTCATTTAAACCATTTGTTGTTGTAATTTGTCCCACAGATTAGGACTACTTAGCTTTAAAAAACCCATTTCAGTAGCAAATTATCAAAATATTAGGGAAAAATATTTTTCTTTAGCCTGTTGTAAAAAATTCCCAGACCCCTTAGTAGTCTTATTGTACGTGTTCTACAAATAAGATATAGTAATTTGTGAGGCAAAACATAATTATTAAAATTATTTGTTGTCTTCCAATTGATTTAATTTGTCATATGAATAGTTAACTAAGAGCTAATTACTTAAATCAGATAAGCAACTCATATAGGAGGATTGTTTACAGTTATGTTTATGTTTTTCATTTCATGAATAGTTTGTGATATTTTGCGAATTGTTGATAGTTTATTTTTCTATATTGTTTAGGTGAAGTGGTAGAACATTATGGCTATGGCAGATGTGTAAAGCTATGGTTCCACAGACTGCGGAACTTCCGCTGTGCGGTGCGTAATTTTCCACTGCGGAAAAATATGTAGCGTAAATCTGGAGGGGTGGTTCCACTGACTGCGGAAATAACGTTGCGGAAATTCAGTTCTGTCCAAACTAGCGACGAGTATGGAGCACAAATATAATACCATAAAACAATATTAGGTAATATTCAGACTTAATTATTTTTAATTGTGGTTACTTTTATTGTCAACTGATGTTAGAGCTGTTCTTAAAAATCGCCTTATTAATTTTTATGAGGATGGTGGTAGTAAACATTAATAAAATAACAATTTGAACTTAAATTGTAGTTTCATTGATTCACGAATAAAAAATACAAGCCCCGAAAAGAATAAGGTTATTGAAATAATATTAGGAAACTAAATTATCACAATAACTTATAGGATAGCTCACAATAATTAATTTATGGCTCTTCGCTGGCGGAATCCGCACTGCCACTGCTCTCAGACCAGTATGATTTGTCCACCATGCGGAACCGAAAATTGATGTTGTAGAAATAGCAGAGTTGAGCTGCAGCGGTAATTACTCTGATTATATAAAATAATTAGACAGTTAGTTAACATCAAATCAAATCAAATCAAATCAAATCAAATCAAAATCTCCTTTATTCATGAATGTACAAGTACAAAGAATAGAGTCAGTGAGTACTTATTGTCTATTCACAATATTTTAAATTGTAAAATTCCTCAAAGGAGTAAATTGCTTTTTCTACTAGGTTTTTTTTTTAGTTTAAAGTAAAATTTCCTACTATTACATTCATTTTTTATATCTTTTGGTAAAAAACTTATATATCTAAGGCCTCTATACACTGTGTTTTTTTTATAAAATTCTAAATTATGTCTGTTTTGTATAACATATTGTGCATTTCTGGTATTATATATATTACTGGTAGGCCTACTTAGTTCTAACTGTATTTTTGGTAAATGGTGCTGCTTAGTATATTTTATTGTCTCGTATATATAAATTCCAAACACTGTTAGGATTTCCAAATTAGAAAAATGATACTTTACACTTTCAATCCAATTTAAACTTAGCATTAATCTAATAGCTTTCTTTTGTAACAGAAGTATTTGATTAAGGTTTGATTTTGAGGTCCCTCCGTACACACTAATTCCGTATGATATAAATGAATGTACAAAAGCATAATACACCAGTTTTAGAGCCGAAAGATCACAGACATATGACATCCTTCGAAGAGCATACAAGCCTGATGAAATTTTGCCTACAAAATGCTGGACATGAGAGTCCCAACTTAAATTGTTATCAATAATAATTCCTAAAAATTTTAAATCATTTACTTTATTAATTTTAGCATTAGTCTTTAAAATTGTCTCATTATTTTTATTTTTATTTGTACAGAAAGAAATGTAACTACTTTTATTTTCATTTAAAAGTAAATTTTTGCTGTTAAAAAAGTTTTTAATCTTGTTAATAGAGTGAGAATAAGAATTTTGTACAGCCTCGAGAGTTTTACCTGTCACCAAAAGGCTTGTATCGTCTGCATATAGGCAAACTTTGCCATCTGTTCCTGAAATAATACTAGGTAACCCCTTGATATAGCACAAAAACAGAAGCGGTCCTAGGATAGATCCTTGGGGTACTCCGTATTTGATAGATTGTATTGTTGAATTATGAAATTGTATAACATTTTTTGTACTAAGCCCTTTTGTGACAGTATATTGTTTCCTATCATTAAGATATGATTTAAACCAATCTATCTGGCGATTTTTTATTCCTAAGGATTGTAATGTTTTTATTAATTCTGAATGATTTACACTATCAAAAGCGCGAGTAAGATCTAGAAAGATCCCCAAAGTTTTATTTTTTTTATCTATGCTTTCAATTATTGATGTCACAAAATCTACACTAGCGGTTGTCGTTGACCTTCCAGCTCTAAACCCATGCTGATCTTCATCAAATAATTTATTTTTCTCTAAAAAATCCACTAATTGATCGTACACAACTTTTTCTAAAATTTTAGAAAAATTTGATAGTAGGGAAACTGGACGATAATTGAGAGGATTGGTTTCTAACCCTTTTTTTAAAAATTGGAATAACTTTTGCTATTTTTATTTGTTGGGAAATATACCGCAGATTAAAGAAGAATTTACTAGATGTGTTAACGGTTTTGAAATTTCATGTTTGATTGATTTTAACAAAGACATTGGGACCTCATCAAATCCTGAAGAAGTTTTATTTGGCCTACTTGAAATTACTTTAATTATTTCATCTTCAGTCACTGTCCTAAACTTGAAAGTACTGTCAGAAAAAGAAGTAGGAGTTGAATAAATTGTGTTTTGAGATAAGTGAGGAATAACTTGACTTTCAACAGCATTAATAAAAATGTCATTAAAAATATTAGATACTTCCAATTAGTGATGTGGGCCGGGTAAATACCCAGTGGGTAGGTAAATATAAATTGGGTATTTACCCGGGTATTTACCCCAGGCCTGGGTAAATACCCAAAAACTGGGTATTTATAATTTTTATTAAAGTTAGAGAAGATTGAGATGTTTTTTTGCAATTATTACCCTGTAAGGATAGTAAAATGATGATAAAATGTGTTAAACAAAATTTCATATGGTCACTACTAGCATTTTACTTCTGTGTATACTCGCCATAAATACCCGTCTGAGCATAAAGCATAATCGGCATAAATACCCTGGTCGCATGGTTGCACTGGTCCTGACTACTTATGATTTTTTAAGTCGGCGCGGCTCAAACTGCAAATATGATTGAAATTAAATATTGTGTGTGTATTTTGAAAATCAATAAATTGTAGCTGGATAACATAAATATATCAAAAACATACTGAACTGTTTTGTTGATATATTAAAGGGAATATTTTCTTGTATTTTATGTTTACTTCAGAATAAATGCATTATGAAAATAACACACACAAATGTTCTATATGAATAGGAAAATAATTTAGTTTGATATTATGATAGGGAAAAGAAGCTAGTTTAGTATTAAAACGTTACTTTTCCAAGTTAGAAAAATTTCAATGCGTTATAATCTTTTTAAAGATACACGTTAATACAACTATAAAGCCGATCTCTGATTACGGTAATAAAATAACACTTAACGCATAACTATGAAAAAGACATGCAGATTAACACCTTTAGTTATAGATAGTCACCTGCAATATGGACACCCTCTTTCAATTTTGTATAAAAAATCATCATAAAGCCGCGCCGACTTAAAATACGTGAGCTTGCCTAATACAAAGTTTACTTTATTGAAATTATTTCATTCTTTTTAGAGCGTTTGAAGTCGGTTGTATTTTTTTACAAAAAAAATTATATTGAAAATGAATAAAAAATGATTTTTAAAGTAATAATTATTATTTAGAAAGACAGGAAAATTTAACATAGTAGTGGCCTATGTGTAAACAACTTAAGAAAATAATTAAAATTCAATCTGTAGGATGGCAGAATTTAATAATATTTTTGTTCTAGATCTTTTGTTGGTATCAATGGTATCAAAATAAAAAAAACTAATTTCATAAACTTGTGATACAAAACATTTGAATCTATAGGCCCAGTAAATCTTTCAACAATTTCTGGATATTTATAAATTAAAATAATTATGTTTATGTTATTTAATTGGTTATAAATTTATAAAATGATAAAAATTGAAATAGCCACAGCCTTTTTTAATGGGCTATTTTTTAGTAAGTTAAATTTTAACTGATGTTACTTGATTTAAGACACGAAACCCCATGCTTATTTAGAAAATGTATGTATTCTTCAAAAAAAGGTGCTAAATCATTAAATAAAAGGTACTAGCAAAGCTTCAAGCTACTGTAGGCCTAAAAGGTGTTATAGACTATCCTAATTTATCATGTAATGATAATAATAACATATTTAGGGGTATATATAAATGAATTTCAATTGATTTCATAAATACCCAAAATACCCGGGTATTTATGGATTTTGGGTATTTACCCGGGTAAATACCCAGGGTATTTACCCCGAGTTTTAAATACCTGGGTATTTTACATCACTACTTCCAATGGTTCTCTAACCAGTTTCCCTGATTTATTTGTTAGTTCAATTTTTGGGACATGAGCTATAGCAGTAGGCCTACCACCTACTTCACTGTTAATTAAACTCCAAGTTGTTTTGATTACATTGTCAGAGGTTTTTACTTTATCATTGAAATATTTACTTTTTGCCTGAATAATCATTTTTCTAAAACTAGATTTAATACTATTTACATTTTCTTGTGATGCATTTTCT